AAAAAAAAAAAAAAAAAAAAAAAACAAGGAACTTACTCCCATGGGACATCTCCGACCAGCATCCAGTCACCATCTTTATCCTCATAAGTTGGAACATATTCAGATCCTTTATAGCCTTCTCTCTCGGAGTATTCACCTGAAATGGGAAAGGAAAAAAGATCAAAAGTTTATTATTAAACTAACAGTTTATATAATATGTGAAAAAGGAAAATAAATTACAATAATACATACCGACTCTGAACTTGAACATGTCTTGTAAAGTTTGGAGAAGCTCAGGGTAACCTTTGTATAAACAGAGATCAATTTTCCTCAAGTAAGGAGCTCCGTCCATGCTTACTTTCACATAATTTCCACTACTCTCCTGTGCCGCCGTTGCCACCGCCGTCTTCTTTGATTGAAGGCTGTTCCTTCTAAACGATTGAACCGGCGGCCACCCCACAATCTGAGCCCTACACCACATACCCAAAACAAAATTAATAACCAATAATCTAATTAATTACAAGCTCTCAATCAAAATTTGTAATTTTGGGTTTGGTTTGTATATGAAGAACGTACTTGGTGGGAGGTGGGGTTTGGAGCGTGGCGTCAGAGGAAACAGAGATGTTCGAAGCAGATGAGCTTTGGTTGGATTCCGGTAATAATGGTCTTTTGTTGTTGATGATTCTGAGAGATTGAGGTTGTTCTTGGTTGTTGTTGTTGTCGTCGTCGGCGCCGGGGGGTCCAAGGCGGAGCTCGGTGGCATCGAGGTTGAGGCAATTTTGAAACGCCATTGTTGCAAAGTTTGAATTTTTATTTTAGGGAATAGAATGAAAGGGGGAGGGAAGTGGTTGTATCTTATAGAGAAGGCTTCGAGGCAAAAGGGTAAGGTTTAGAAAGCAAGAATAAAATGAATAAATTAATAATAATGACTTACTTTTAAAAGTTTGAAAATGGGACAGAGGCAAAGGAAGCTGTCGGTAGCAATTGCAGCAACTTTGAGGCAATGTGTCCGTGAAGACAGGAGACAAGGGTGGGACAAGGCCGCGTCTGCCCACGATGACAATGGACGGCTATGATTTGTTTAGTGATATGCGTAAGGAGAGATCTTGGGCGTTGGATTGTAGAGCATCCCCACGTGAAGAGGGCTTCCCCACATGCATGGTTGGATTTTAGGTCTCGCCTTTATTGGAAAACTACCCTTTTCTTTCTTTATTTTCCTTTATTTTTTAATAAAAAAAAAAAAATTCAAAGAATATTTATCTAACTTATGTTATGCTATGCTATGATAAAGGGTGGAATGATTTAGTAAAATGGATATTGTTTTGTTTTGATCCATTCTATATTACTAAACTAATAGGGTTAGGATAACTATGAAACTTGTGAATGAACAAAAAAAACAATCTCTTTAATTTTGGATGTTTAATGGATTTAAAAGAAAAAAAATTAAAAAGAATATTAGAGGCTGAGGTTGATCATATCGTTACGTCCAATGTTTTGCATGTGGTAGGGAAAGAAAAGGTTGTCTAATCGCCATTCTTTCAATGGCCCGACATTTCGACTTGCTATGTCTCCTTTTCTCGTTCTTTGAACTAAGTAGCTTAGGAACAAAGTATTCATTATAAGGGTGTGAAAATCTCTGGTTTTATTGAGTAAATTTGGAGGTTTGGTTAAAAAGAGGGGCAGAGGGAGGGAATGAAAAGAGAGTGGTTGATTAGAAGGGAGTTTGGGTTGAGGAGGTTTATGGCATTAATAGTTGTGGTGTAAGCTGTTTCACCATTGTTGGGCATGCCCATATCTGCCATTAAGCTTCAGAAAAGGAAAAGGGAAAAGGCAAAAAAAGGAAAAAATTGTGTGGCAAAGCAAGAGGAAAGAGTAGGCATCAGATTAAATTTGATAGCTTTACACCTGTGTTGTGTGGATGGTGAGCTAAAAGCTTGGCACTTGCTCCAAACACAACATCCTGGAAATTAAATATGAATTAGATTTTGGTCCATTTTGAAGGTTGGAGTTGATGCGACCTCTCATTGTTTAGGGTTTGGTAGTTAGGTTGGGCAGAGTTTCCTTCATCCATCCTATCTATCACTTTCATATGCATTCAAATTTGTGTACCTACCACCACCACCACTACTACTTCTACTTCTCAATCTTCAAATCAAGTGCTAAAAAGTTTAGTGCTTTACTCTTTCTAATACCCTAAAAGAAAAGAAAGAGGTACAATGGAAGAACCCAAGAAAAAGGGATGAGGGTTTGTAGTTTTAACACACAAAACACTCATGCAAACCATCACAAAGCATGTGTTCTTCCAATATACAATACCCAACAACAACCCCTTAAAAAGAAGGAACTTTGTATACAATACCATTTGTTCTATGGTAGCAGTCAACGTTGGCACTGGTATACAATAGTATCGTTGGTCGGGATCTAACGTTCTCACTGATACTTGTTCAGTTTTTCAATCGATGTGGAATCTTCTTATCTGCCCTTTCGAGCTCTAGTGTCTTTACTGTCACACTGTCTTGTGTTCATGCTGATTTTCACTGTTTTGTCTTCAAATTCCATCTCAAACTGCTACTCATCCTCCTCGCTGGTGTTTGACGATGATAACATTTATAACCGCCCAAACCCATCGCTGATAGATATTGTCATTCTTTGGACTTTTCTTTTTGAAGTTCTCTCTCCAACTGAGATCCCACATCAGGTGGGGAGTATAACAAAACATTTTTTATAAGGGTGTGAAAACCTCTCATTAGTAAATGCGTTTTAAAAACCTTGAAGAAAAGTACAAAAGAGAAAACTTAAAGAAAACAGTATCGACTAGTGGTGGCTTGAGCGGTTATATCCATCATCCCTTCTAGGGGTGTATCTATACCTAAATAAGCCTTCCGCTGAAGATGATTTAATGGAAAGTGTTGGGTGAGGTTGCATGATGCATGTGTAGCGGTCTGAGATGGAATTTGAAGAACTTAAAAGCGGGTCCCACAGAGAATGACGAAGCCACACGGGATGTACGATGGGACCCCACCGCATGGTGTAACATCCCATTCATTAACTGGGACTTGCTTGGAACCCGCATGCCTACTCATTTCTACAAGACACGTAACCAAATCCAGTCCCTAATAATAATAATATTAATAATCAAATAACAATAATTGGTGTCTTTTTTTTTTTTTTTCTTCTTCTTTATATTATTATTTTTTAATTTCCAAAAATCCATTTTCCATTGTTTTTATAGATTGATGAAACTGTGAAGCGTTAATTCCTTCAATTCATTTATTTACTTCATAAAACAATTTATTATTTCAAGAACCTTTTTATACTTAATTTTACTAATTCAAATATTTGGGCCGGGCCTCAAACAAAATTGGGCTCAACCGACCCAAAAGCCCAAGTACGATGTCGGTTGGGGTTCTCTGAAAACAGATCCGCCAGTTGTCATTATCAAACAGGAATGAAAGAGCACAACTCATGTTTCCAATTATGTTAAAAAGATTCGATGAATTTGATGTTGCCGCCGCCATAAGGACCAATTCGATTTCGCCACCATTACTTCAATTTCCACATTCTTATATATATAATATAAGATTGAATGAGATCCAAACTATATATTAATTTTTTTTACAAATATGAATATAACTATATATTATGTTAGTTTGGTTCGAATAATAAATAGTGGGAATGGGAGGGGTATAAAAGCAATTAGAAGAAAATGGAGAGTTAGAGTATATTGACTAAAGCACTGAAAGAAAGCAAAGGGTGTCCGGACCAGCCCCACCCACGGTACCATTGTCTCAACTTCTACCAACATTTGGAATATATTGTTATGGTGCCTTCAGATTCTTTCTTATTAATTTTCCATCCCTACACAATTTTTCATTTATTATTTGCCCCCTCATCATTCAATTAACCCTATAATACAATTTAACGTATGGTTATTAATATCTTTTTAGATTATTTATCTCTTCGTTCTTCAAAAGACATACGTGTGAGTGTGGTTAGGAAGTCAGTCACATAAAGACTTATTACAGAGAGAAATATGGTTAGTTATAAGCATAGCTACCACATTGAGTTTAAATTTGAGAGAGCGACGTTGACATAGCAAGACTACCTGCTACCTTTACAAATGTTTCCTTTTCTCTCTCTTCCTAGATATGACATGTCTCTAACTCACCACCATATTCTCTCGACCCCTCTTCAATCCTTTATTTCTTGTAGTGATTTAAGACCCTGTTGAAAAAAACAAACGCGCTTTTGTCAAAAAGTACCTAGAGTAAAATGAAGATGTAAGAGTTTTGGTGGAGTTGTGTGTAGGTGATTAATGGTTGACTAATTGAAGGGGGCAAAACCATGTTCCTGTCTCCCTCCAAAACCAACCACAAGTTGCCCAAATAAGATCACATATATAAGGGTCATACGGCAGTCCAAGATCAACATCGTGTCTTTCTCCACGTGGCGAAATCCCAGTAGTGAGGAGCTTGATAAGACATGCACATGCAGCCACACGCTACACAAACTTCCACGCACCTTAATATTATTGCATTGCCTATATTATTTCTCTCCTCTAACCTCGACCCAATTTGCGAGAGAGAGAGAGAGAGAGAGAAAGTGGGAAGGGAAACAAAAAAGCTTTCAAATTTTCCACGGAGGTTAGCCGGAAAGTTGTCAACATGCTGGAAACTGATCTCTGTCTCGGGCTACCCGGCGGCGGGGGAGGCGGCGGAGGAGGAGGAGAGCCTGAGACTCCTAAAGCTAATGGAAAAAGAGGGTTCTCTGAGACCGTTGATCTGAAACTCAATATCCAATCTGAGCCTCTTGCTACCGTCGATCTGACACCACAGAATATGAAGAATAATAATACTTCAACTGATGAGAAGAGTCTTCTAAGCTCCAAAGATCCTGCTAAGCCCCCTGCCAAGTATGTTTATAAGTTTACGATAGATAAATAGATAGATATATTTTAATTAACAAATTATTGATAATATACGGGTTAATATTTTAGGGCACAAGCCGTGGGATGGCCACCGGTGCGATCCTACCGAAAGAATGTCATGGCTCAAAAGAACTCTGACGGTGGCTCGGCTATGTTTGTGAAAGTTTGTATGGATGGCGCACCATATCTGCGAAAGGTGGACTTGAAGATGTACAAAAGCTACCAAGAACTCTCGAATGCATTGGCCAAGATGTTCAGCTCCTTTACCATGGCCGGTTAGTAATTTACAACCCTTTGAGAATACGAATGAAAAGATTAGGTTAAATTTAGTGTATGGTTTAATAAATATTATAGGACATTTTTTTAGATAATTGTATAATGAATTAGGTTAGATCTGGGAACACAAGGATCTTTGATGCGAGAATATGTGGGATCATTTGGAATCATTAACAAAGGCATATTACAGCCTAGCTACTAGCTACCCTTTATTATTTCTTATGATAATCATTGTATGTTTTGAATTAAATATTTTAATCACCAAAGTTTCAGCTTTTTTTTTCTTTTTCTTTTTGGTGTTAATGATAATGTTAATAAAAATAAAGGTGACTATGGGGCCCAAGGAATGATAGACTTCATCAACGAAAGTAAGTTGATGGATCTTCTAAACAGCTCTGAATATGTACCAACCTATGAAGATAAGGATGGTGATTGGATGCTCGTGGGAGATGTTCCATGGGAGTAAGTTCTTATTCCAACCCAACCCTTGTTTATCTCCACAACTAATCAACACCAATTATTTTTCTAGATCCATCGTTCTAATTATATTTTCGTATTATAGGATGTTCGTTGATTCATGCAAGCGATTAAGGATAACGAAGGGGTCAGAAGCTATTGGGCTGGGTATGTAAATTTTGAAATTTGATTAATGTAAAAAGAATAATTGATTTGATGATGATGAAGAGTGGATTAAAAGTGTGATTGAAATGAATTTCAGCCCCAAGAGCGATGGAGAAATGCAAAAGCAGAAGCTGAAGAGGTGGTGGGTGGCGGCATGATTTGGTCGATCCATGATGAAGCAACAAAGGAGGGGGCAACACAGATGGATCATATTTGATTGCAATATCTCTACTTTTTTTTTTTTTTTTTTTAA